TCATACCTTATGAGAATACGTGGGCATAGGATTGCGATGATCCCAGCGAGCACTCTTCTTTATTTTCCATCTTTTCCCCGAAAAGGACATGTTATGTCCGTTCTACCGCAAATAGGCAACGCATAAGACTCCATGAGCGAGCTGCAATACACCTAACTACTAGAACACGCACGTTAGCATCGTCCACCCAAACTTTCCATTTTCACCGTAGTCCCATGAACTACGAATGTTATGATTCTTCACTTCTTACAAGTGAATATATGTAGGCACAAGGGCCCCAATTCTTGGCGAGCACTCTAATAAAAAACCAACCCCTATTTCCCTTAAGCAAGTAGAATTTTAGATTAAAACACCCATTCACGCTAAACAACCTAGAAGGTTCCCATCGAGTACGATGAATGCGAGGGGGTGCTAACACCTTTCCCTCGCATAACCGACTCCCGAACCCTAAGACTTGGTTGCGATGACCATACTTTTTTACCAAAGGTTTTATCGCTATTTCCCTTTCCCTCCTTGGGATAAATAAAATCCGGTGGCGACTCTGTGTCATTTTTCGCGTAGCAACAACTATTAATTATCAAATTATTATCATTGTCAATTAAATTATATTAATATTAAAGTCTATAGTTTATTAAATAATCTCCACATTTAAAGGCACTCACCAACACACTCAGACACACCGAAATAAAATAAAACCAAAAAGACTAAATAATTAAAATGGGTGTTACATATTCAATCTATGAATTGTTGCTTGTGATTAAATGATAACCTGATTGAAAAATTTATAAGGATTGGTGAGGAAACCTTAATAGTAATTAATAGAATGAATTAGAAAGATGTTGCAGCGTACATACAGCGAGTAGAAGAAGAAAAACACGAGCATGGTGCTGCAAGCTCACTGCAGCACACTTCAGGAAAGTGCAAAACAACCAAAATCCAGTAGGATCTCCTTGTCAGCATGCTGGTGGTGCAAGTGCGCTGCAAGTCTGCAACACAACTTTGTGCGCAAAGTGCAAATGCGCTACAACACAACTTTCTACACAAAGCGCAAGTGCGTTGCTACACACCTTTTTTTTACGCAAAATGCACTAAGGAAGAAAAATCCAAAAAGGCGGTTTAAAAGATTTCTTCAGGGTTAAGCAATGAATGTATGCTACAACGAGGATTTTTTAGCAGAACGAGGGTAGCAGCTCTTGGAAAAAAACTATAAATAAAGGACTTGGGTCATTTAGAAATTAATTCCATTTCCAGTTCTTTTAGTTCAATATCATTGTAATAGCTTAAGTGAGAAAAGGATAGCAGGGATCGAGCTGGATTTACATCGAGAATCGAGAAATCATTATTGATGCAGATTTATTTCTAATAGTTCTTTTTGTATCAAGCTACCATGATAATAGAAAACTAAACTTCTTCTCTTGTTGGGATTGGAAAGAATCTACCGTAACCGTGTGTATATTCAGTGATCATGCTTTTAATATAATCTTGTTATTCATTATTATCGATTCTATCTTTGTTATATTGATTAAATCTTTGGATGTGAATTGTGATTGAGAAATACGTTCGAGTCTTAATTTAAGATAAGAATCGGCTGAACACTAATTGCTAGACATAAAATTAGGGTTTAATTTTCACAAACAAATATCAGTTCTTAATGCAAATATATGCATACGTAATCAGTGATATACATATGTGCACAATAAAGGAAATCCAATCCCAACAAGCTTTTATATCGGTGAATTGCAATTTAACAAATTCCATTTTATTTTATATTTAGTTTTACCTTAGTCAAACCATTCAGTGAACTTTAACTTGAAACAATATTAATTATCGAATTGTTGGAAATATCGCACAAGTCTCTGTGGATATGATAAACAAATACTTACTTTTGCTTTACTCAACATCATCGCCCCAAGTTATAATACTTATATAGAGTAAGATTGGCATGAATGCATTGATACTTCACATCAACCAAGTGGGTTAGACTCCTATATGTTCAACCAAATGGGTTAGAGTCCCATATGTTCAACCAGGGTTAGAGCCCCATAGTGCAACCAAATGGGTTAGAGTCACATAGAAGAACTTGAAGTGTTCAAGAAAGTCGAAGTATGATACAAGGATCCGTGACCCGGGATAACTCTAAACGTATGGTTAGTTGGGGAAAGATGCCTTGGTATGGTTTCTGATTAGTGATTGTTTAAGATGATGAAATCACGAGGCATGTCTCGATACAATGTGAGTTTTGTGAGCTTGAGTCCCTTTTCCCTTATGACTCAAGTTAGGATGATGTTTGGAACCTAGTAGAGCCGAGTGAACCCATAAGATAGGGAACCCACTGGAATTATCATCTCACCCCATATTTTTGATTATTTTCAAGTGGTTTTGATCAGACGAAGGGTGAGGACAAAGTAGCACGATATCCTTATTTCCTTTGTTATTTTGGATAGCGTATTCACTATGCAATTATTTTGGAGATCATCTTACCATGATCGAGTTCCTAGTTTTTATATTTTGGGACCCTTGTATATTTTGTGCCATTGTTGTAGTATTATTTTAGGCATGTAATATGTATAATGTCACCAGTAGACACTTATGTATTTCAACATTAACTTTACAACTATGTATAATATGTATATTCTAGACATGTATTATATTTGAGTGTTACATGTGACCTTTCTTTCCACATTGAAAACAATATTGGAACAAATGAATATTTTCCATCATTATTTATGCTAAAAATCATGTTGTTATCATGCTTCATGAATCTCTTAAAAATTTGAACCATCAATGTCATTTCTCCATCAACATCTGACTTTGTATTATTCTACTTTGAGATCTAGACTTTTCTTCTTTTTGTATCCTTCATCATTAATAACTAGTCTTTTTAGTTCCATTTTGTATTCTTGCAACTTACTAAAGAAAGTAGCTAAATCCACAGACAACAAGCCCATATATTCAGAAATCTCAATGACTTTAGGTTACTAATTGTGGTTTAAGGATCTAATAATTTTTATAACAAAGTCCTCGTTTTGAAAAACTGTACCCTTTTTACAATGCGAATAAACAGTTTTCCCATATCCTGAATGTTTTCTTCAGATTTTATTTTGAAAAGTTTGTACTCATGGTTCAATGTGTTCATTTTAGCCTTTTTTACCTTAGTTGTACCTTCATGGTATTTACTGTGAAATTTGGTAAACAAATACAAACTTATATTAATACTTAAGGATAAAACTCAAAAATCTACCAGACATGTTTGTGTGTGTGTTACTCGTGAAAATCCTAGGGCTTGTCGAAGTTAGCATAAACTCGGGCAAGCATATGCAAATGTTTGTGATCTCTTGACAAAGATGACGCAAAGTAAAAGAAAGACTTGAAAGTAAAGCTCAAGAAACGTAAAGTTGTGTGAAAAGTAGAGGAGGTCGAAAAAGCTTAAATGCATAAAAGAAAGACTTAAGATGAAATTATTGAATTTGTATAAAACGGCGGAACACATGCGTACATCTTCCTTTCACTCGTTTCTCATAGTGCAGGTACTTTGAGTGTTTTAAAAACGTGTACAATTTGTGGATCCTTTACAAAATGAACCTAAGTATCTATATATACAATACTAAGATAACTTCCTGAGCATGATAAGCTACTTCCGTGGTGACACGTTTTCAGATCGTGTGACAATTCTCCCCGACGTGCCCCACGTTCTCCATGTAATCGTCGATGCTAATATAATAGTTTCTGCTCTGTGGTATTATTTGAACTTCTCAACTGTTTTATTGGCGCCAAGAACTGAATATCCTCGTCGAGGCCTTCGACGTCGACCACGTTAATGTAATATGTTTCGTCATATTGTCCATTATAGCGATGTATTCCATATATGGTGACTGATTTATCATTACTTCCATTGTACTGATGAACTCCAACCTTAGCCAACATGACATAGTATTTAATTATAATAATGAACTCCAACCTTAGCCAACATGACATAATATTCAATTGTAACGGTGGACTCCAACCTTAGCCAACATGACATAGTATTAAATTTCACTAAATGACTAACATATCATAGTATTCAATTTCACTAAGTCCATGTGCTTCTTTCCGTGCCCTTCGACTCCGTCACCTTTGACTGGTATCCCCTTACTTGATTTCCGACCTTGAGTCATTATAATCAAGTTTGACCCATGATATTTTATTTTCCACGTGACACATTCATGGTTGGTCTCATTGAATACTTATCATTTATAGTTAAATCGAAAAATCCAATGTAACACATGGGTAACTTGAAGGGTGTCCCACATTTCTTTTGCAGTAAACACGCAAAAAACCATCAATGCCAAGAGTGGTAGTGATGATAGTTTTTGTATTCAAATTGTGGCACATTTTTTCCTCATTCTCTTTGATTCAAATATCTTTACTTTTGTTTTCCATAACACCATCAAATAGACATGCAGTAACAAAAGAACCATTTTCTTTTTGTTGTAAAAGTCCATATATCATAGTTCATTCCTTCTATAAATATTCTCATCTTCAATTTTCCCATAGTATAATATTCTCCATTGAAAGACGAATGTTTATTTAGTGAATTATTTAATTTATTATTTCATAAGACGATTATTCTTGTAACAAGAATTAGAATTTAATGTCACTTATTGACGAACCGACTCAAAACACAAGATAATGGTGAATTATAATATTAGAATTTCTATTTAACGGTTTTTAAAAACGTTTATGCAAATACCAAAATAAAAATAAATATATATAGTGTACATATGAAAAAGAGTAACTAGTAAGAAATCTCCATGAGCATTAGTTGTAGTTATTTTTACTTTAGCATATACCGACACCCCAGGAGTCTCTAATTGTCAATTATCACCCCTAAATCCCAGTGAGCCTCACAAAAACCCTTTGAATATTTTAATTCATATCAATTCACCTCAACTACCTTACTATAACACGAATTTCATTTCATTTTCCTGTGCAATTTTCATTGTAGCGACTGTATTTGAAAAATGCACGGTCAACCTCGCAAACCGTTGAAGCAAGAAGACGAATCAGTTTTATCAGCCAAAGCCGAAAAGCTTCGTGCACTTCAATCTCAGTTCTTCGCCAATCACCGCAATCGCATGTATGCTGATGATTCTTTCTTCTCTCTCGCTTACTGATTTTCGTTTTCCTTTTGTTTTGATTGGATGAATCTGGTTGCAGATATACACAAGAAGCGTTAGATTTGTCCGCAAAGCTTCTTGAAGGTAATCCAGAGTGTTACACTGCTTGGAATTACAGAAAACTCGCTTTTCAACACAATCTCTCTCGACCGGATCCCGATTATGTCGCATATCTCTTCGATCAGGAGCTTAAATTGGTGAGAATTTGTTTTACTTTCAAGTTATTGAATTGAATAATATAGATTTAGTTTTTTTTTTTTAAGTTAAACAATTATTGTGCTTAATTGCAAAATGTGGAATCGTAGTAGGTTATTTTCTGTTGATTTTGTGTTGTTTAGGTGGAGAATGCGTTGAGGAAGAATTGCAAGTCCTATGGTGCTTGGTATCATAGAAAATGGGTGCTCAGCAAGGGGCATTCATCTATAGATAATGAATTGCGCCTTCTTAATGGTTTTCAGAAGGCCGATTCGCGGAATTTTCATGCTTGGAACTATAGAAGGTTAAATATTTCTTCCTTTGATGTCATTTTTTATGATAGGAAAAAGTTGCAATTTAAGAGACTTTTGTTTTGTCCCTTTTTGTTTTGATATTACTTTCAGGTTTGTTACTTCACTCATGAAAAGATCAGACGAGGATGAGCTGATATACACAGAGGAAGTGATAGGGGAGAATTTTAGTAATTATTCTGCATGGCATAATAGAAGGTATCCGAAAAATTTACTCTTTCAAAGGGACATCTCAGTGATGGCTGAACATGTGTTGAGTGTTTTTTTTTCTTTTTTTTTTCTATGTAATATGCTCATTTATTTACAAATGCTGCATAGACAGTTGCATTCATCTGTCATAAACTGTTTCGCGCGTGTCTTTGAAAATATATCAAATTAAGAATGATGCTATATGGTACTTTGTTTTATCATGTATGTATCTTGCTTACACACTGGCATACACAAGATTGATTTGTCCACTTATGCTTGTTCTAGAAACAGACATTAGTCTATCAACCTTGCGTTATTAAAATGTTTTTCAAGAAAGGTTTGGATATGTGTTTGTATTTAGGCGTGATAAATTGTGGCCAGGAATAGTGGTTTGATTGCATGCATACACCTGTCTAGGTATTTGAAAAATATTCTTTTAATATTGTGAATAATCAATTGGTTACTACCTTTGAAGCACTGTAGAAGATTGTCATGAACGAACTTATTGTATATTGATGTGTGCATTTAAAAAATAAGCCCTTATGATTCCTTACTTCCAAGATATTGAATGATCATCATACATGATGCCATGTTTTTTAGCATTTGAATGGGATATGCTGGTTGTAAAAATCAAGATCTAAATTTTATAATCATAAGATTTTACGATCTCACTCACCTCCAAAGATCCAAATCTTACGTAGAATCGTGTGGTGTAGTTAAATTCTGAAAAAATATCTTAACCATTGATTGTGAGCAATCTTGGCCTGTTCCGACCATGATCGGCCGTTTTCTAGCCACCACCAAGATGCAGAGGCGCAACAATTAAGGTTTGGTGGTGATGAATGCATGCCTTTTGAAATGATGAAGTTTTAAATTTAGGGTTTAGAGAATAAAAATATTAGTTGCAGGGTTTGTTTTAAATTAAACTCATGATAAACCAAGTGATGGCCCAAATATGTCCCAAATGTCTAACAAATGTTTCCGGTGACAAATCGTAATAAAGTATAAAAACTCAATCATACATGTCTAAAGAATATGAAAAAAGATCATTTTCCCATGGATACACTTTGCCTACCAAAGTATAATGTAAAAATACTTCAAATATATAGTATTGTTTTTCATTTTAGTAGTATCTTACAATTTTTGTTATGATCTTATGTTTTGCCAACTTGTCACCACCCCCCATGGATCTTACAAAAATAATTGGCTAGAATCTTCCGATCTTAATTACGATCTTATGTTTTACGATCTTGCTATCCCCTCTTGATTTTTGGCAAAATCCCGATCTTGACAACCTTATGAGAGATATTTCGACAGGGCAAGGAAGTTTATGTCCTGTGTTTACTCCACAAAGACCATATGTACTATGTTTTTATAGTAACAACTCTTTGTTTGGTTTTCATTCAGAATTTTCTTAATGTGATCAATTCAATAAGATTCTTTAAGATTTTATTTTAACGTGACTCTTGAGTCACCAATTATATTAATACATGTGCCATTCCTTTGATAAATTTCAGTGTGCTTTTATCTAATTTATTTAAAAGAAAGGCCGAAGAATTCCCCCTTGAAGAAAAAGTTTTGCAAGAGTATGAGCATGTCCGCAGTGCTATTTTTACTGATCCAGCAGATCAGAGTGGCTGGTTTTATCATCTGTGGCTTATTGATCTAACAGTGAAAAATTATGCTCCTCTCCTTGTTTCATCTTGGCCATCTCATGGATCTAATATAACCCTAAATGGAAACAATTGCATAGATGGATGTGGTTTGTCTCTATTGAATAGCACACTATCAGACACTAGAACACTTCCATTGGTTCTATATTTCAATCAAGCTGTTGAAGGCGTCAACCTGTCTACGGTGGCTGTTAAATCTGAACTCTTGAAGGAAGATCTTGTTTGGAAACCACTTTTAACAAGTAACTCGAGTACTGCTCAAGTTTGGGGTGCGTACCTAAACCTTGGTAATATGGAGCTCGAACAATCAAAAACTTACTCTATAGAGATTGCTATTGGACATTCTATGGGTATTGTATCTTCAAATGGATATCAGTATGGGGATCCTTCCCAAATTGCCTTTAAATTGTGCGTACAGACTGCTTCTACCAAACCTGTTGAAGAACAAGGTGGAAAGTTGACTTCATGGAAGGACAATAATTTCCAAAAAATTGATCATTTTGAAGACTCAGATTCCATTGTATCTGCTGATCCCCATATTCCAACAACTTCCTTTTGGTGCATGAAGGCAATTGAAGAAGAAATAACTAATTTTCAGGATTTATTGTCTGAAGATGAATGGTAAGGTGGATTTGGGAAATGTATGGCTTTATGGTTTTAAAGACCACTGAGTTCGTTCTTTTCCCATATTTTCCAGTTATATTTCGATATAATATTGTGCTTTGTTTGACTTTTGTAGTAAAATTGGAAAGCTTTCACTTGCTAGACTTTTGACTGCTCTTGATTTGTTAACGCATCAACATGACAAAAGTAAAAACCATACTGAAGAAGTTCTTAAACTTTACACTGATTTGATGGAGTTGGATCCAACACATTCGCTATACTACAAGGATGAGCATAGTCTGGTATTACTTCAGCAGGTAATTTACTCTTTCTCAGTATTGAATATCTTTTAGTGTGTTTATTTTTAATGAGTTTTCTGAAAGAAAAAAAAAACTAAGGATTTTCTACGATATTAATCTGGATATGAGAAAAATTGTTGATGCCAAAATACTTTACTACCAACTTCGTGCTTGACTTCTCAAATTGATGTAATTCTCTACTTGTTTATTTTTTTAATGATCAGCTATATTTTCTATGAAAGTGCACTTGAATTTTGAAGCTCTTATGAAGCAACACTTTATAGTTTTGCAAATTTTCTATTCCTTCCATGATCAATCAAATTTGTTTGTTCATGTTGAGGTTTGTCAATTCATTAAAATTTTCATCAAGTCATATGGGGCTTATATAATTTGTACTGAGATATGGCTGTTATACACTTCGATCTAAAAATGATGAGTAGCCCCTGCAAAACAGCAATTGAACACACTGACAAAAATTTGACATGAAAGAAATCCTGACTTATCAATAAAATAAGAAGTCGTGTTAGTCTAAGGCATGAGAAATCACATTGTCCAGGACTTATTTGCATGAAGCATAAACTTCACATGAATCATGGTACAATATGCTTACTCCGAAAGGGTCAAATAAACCCCAACTAATTGCGCGGCACTTTTTTCTCACATAAAACACTAAAACCCTCCTCCATTTCAATCACCCAATTTGAATTCGATTGTTTACTTATCCTTCTATTTTCCATCGTTTTGTCTATCATTCAACTATTGTCAAAAAATGTTAAGTATCAATGCATAAGAATCATCAAAGACTAAGAAGATTTGACACAAGAAAATACAAAAAGAGCATGTAAAGTACATAGGGAGTATGCAAAGGAAGATAAAGTATTGTTAATGAGTTAGAGCGTTATACCAAATCAAGAATAAGATAAGGAATAAAAGGAATAAGGCAAAAGAGGGGAGAAGTATGCAAGGTTTATACCAAAACTCAAATGATTGAAAGCATTTTTAAGATAAGGGGCTGTGTGACTAGGCCTGTTATTTATGCTCCGTGGACAACTATATAATGGTCTTTTTGAATGATAGATGGGAGCATCTGGATATGAGGGGGAAAAAATACCTTAGAGCCAAGTGTGCTTGAATTCTCAGATTGAATGTAATTTTCTACTTGCTTTTCTTGGTCAACTGTTTTTTCTATGAAGATGCATTTGAATTCAGAAACTTTTACGAACTGTGCATTTTACTAATTACAACTAGTTCTTTTTAGTATTTAAAATTTTCTATTCCTTCTTCAATGAATCAATTTTATTTGTTCATGTTTTGAGGATTCTGCAGATAACATCATCTAGAGAATCTTTACTACCATATTGCCACTATTATAAAGACGCAACAGAAGCAAATACTAGTTATGTCTGTCTACGATTACAAAATCTATCGCTGTCACGGATGGGGTCCATTGAGAATTTACTGTGGGTGCAAATGCTAGACCTTAGCCACAACGAACTACGATCAATTGAAGGTATTCCATAATTTGTAAATTTTCTATATCTTAGCTTTTCCCTCCACTCAAACACCACTATAATTTAGCGTTTATTATTACTGAGTATGATCATTAACATAGACTCTAATATGCAATTAGGCCTTATTGCGCAATTTTAAGTCTATTCTGTTTTCTCATTGTAAAAAGGGCTGGGAATTAATTGACCTATTTCCTAGCTGTAGATGCAATCTAAAATGAGGATAGAATTTGGATAGAGAATATCCCCTCTTTTTGTTTGCAAAGTTTTGTTCTAATCCGACCTCCTTAGTTTCTTCAATATATTTGTTTCTATTTTTAAAAATAGTAATATGCCATTGTGCTTGATTTTCTTTTTTTTTTTACTATCCACTTTTTGCGAACCCAAGTTTTAATGGGAATATTGATGTTAGTGGTTGAACGAAAATTAATAAATTTACTTTCATCACCTTCATGGAATTTCTATAAACCCAACATCAAACAAGACAACGTCTTTTGAGATATTTTGCAAGGAAAATAAATCCTGCAGGTCTCTCTAGTTTATAGGTCATGCATCCCCTTGGCTACTCATTTTTGGGAATTTTAGCTTCTGGCATTGTATTTCATCGTTTTCATGCAAAATCAATAAACCCAACTATATTCAAACAGGATGCCGTCTTTCCAGTTATTATGCAAATAAATTAAATCCTGCAAGTTCTCTAGTGTAGGTTAATCTGGCTAATCACTTCTAACAATTTTAGCTTCTGTTATTGCATCTAGAAGTCGAAAAAGGCGGGACTCACGCTGAATTTTTTGACAGGATTGGAAGCCATGCAACTTCTATCTTCCTTAAATCTGAGTCATAACAAATTTGGTAGTTTTACTGCTCTGGAGCCTCTCAGATCACTCAAGTCACTTAAAGTGTTGGATATCTCTTACAATGAGTTAGGCTCTCACTCGATTGACACAAGAAGATATTTATGCTCTTCTCCTTTAGCAAACACCGAAGCATTTGCCTGGGACCGTTTTGAAATCCTTTGCGGCAGTTTTAGTTCCACAAAGTTTTGGGAAGCTTTCTTGATATTTGAAAGCTTGAACTTGACAGATTTGAACGTAACAGGAAATGCAGTTGCTGATGAGAACTTCACGTCATTTATCGTCAAAGTTTTGCCTACACTAAAGTGGCTAAATAGTGAAGAGTTATCTTGACATTTATTGGCTTTTAAGATGCAGTTTTATGTTTGTGGTGTAAAGGTCATTTCTTTAACTGTATTTTTGGTCCTTGTTGCATCACAGGTGTTGGATTGATATTGATAGCATGATTAAACATGTTAAAGTGTGTAACATTTTTTACTCAGTATTAGCACTAAATTAGGTCTCTGATTAGTGATATTTAAATATCACTCCTTAGCCTTTGCAATGAAAATGAAAAAAGGTGCAGATCATATATGATCCTTGAGAATATCCAAGATCTTTGATATGTCCTTTTTTATTTTACAAATGACATGCCTTTTGTTAAAACCTTGAAATATTTCTAAAGTTGAGGAAAAAATAATAGAGTTAAAAGGGAAAATTTTCATTCAACAAAGGAAGAACTCGATTTCACATGTCTTTTAGTGATGTATACATTGATGAGCAATGAGTAGAAACCAATAGTAGGGTACACAAATTTATTTATTTTTCATTTCAGAACTGCTTTGATGATATTGATCTACTACTTGAGCCTTCGGTGAGCAAGACCTCATTCGCTCCGCGAAACACCTAAACACTGAAATGGAATGTGGTGCCACAGCTAATGAAACACCTCACCAACAGACATTCTTTCCCAATAGAAGTTCAAGACTTTTCTCCATTGCTGAAACAAACTCAATACAGGGTTAGTACCAGTTACAATTGGTGCGATGAATCCTATTGTTGATGAAAAATATAGTTTCTAATAACTCTACATCAGATTTATAAACAAAATACTTCTAATGAAACCCATTCGGTGATGCTATTAAATACCGATGCTATTAAATACCAATCAATTGTCAAGGTCAAAACTTGTAAGATTATTTAATATTCCTATATTTAAAGTGAACATCAATGTAGCACAGTGGAGTAGATAAGGTAGCTCAATTTTCTTTTATTTTTATTTTTTTTTCTTAAAGAAGTAAAAAGTGATATATGGATTATCAAGTACTAGTAACATCCAAGTACTACTGCAGCATCACCATAGCAAATATGTATACTATATTACTATGAAAATAAAACTTAGAATCAGAATCATACAGTCAAATAGCATTTCAATTCAAATATTTGGTTGTAAATAAGAATCAATTATACAAGCTTACCACCTCAATTTTGCTTCTTCCGAAAAATAAAACAAGCTTAACACACGGAAAAACAAGCAAACAAAAAACACTAAATAAACTCAATAGAATTTACACTGCAATGAATCTTAATCATTCGTTACCTTTGGTAATCGATAGACATCAAAAGGTATGAAAAAGGCAAGAAAGGGGATAAGCAAGTGAAGGGACAATGGAGTTGAATTGAAATAATCAAAGGTTATGAGTTCAATTTCCTCTTGTAACAAAATAATCACTAACATGTCTTTCAAATTCAAAGAAAAGAAAAATGTGAAAAAGGAAATAAAATTGTTTTTCAAGTATTTCATACTTAAATGACATGTTTTTTTAAAGAAGATAAATCTCACCATCTTAGTTCATTTAAAGCTAAATCAAAACTCTATGAACTTGTCCCAACACATAAATTCTTGGTGTCAAACAGGGTTCAAACATAAGACCCTACCCAAATCTTTCACCATCATACAAATCTCTAGAATAACAAAAAAAGTACTTTAATAAAATAGGTGTGAAAGTTCTAATATTAAATATTGGATATTTTAGAGAGAAATAAAAGGTGAAAATATCGAAACACCGTTTGAATATGTACCCATATATATCTTCGTCAAATCTACTTTCATTTTAGAAACTAACACATCTACAAAATTTTGTATGAATTGGATTTAAAGAGTTCCCATGGTCCACTCCAATAATACTTGTATAAGAAAAAATAATTAGAGTAGTCTTGGAAAAAAAAAACTATTTAAAAAAAACCAAATTTAACTATGTGAAGAAATTATTAAAAAAAAATCTCAAAAATAATGATTTAAAGAAAAATTGGTTCATATAGTTGACCAATAAATAGAATAGGATTGAATTGTTGTTATTTCTTATATATTAATAATTATGTATTTTAAATTTAAACAATTTAACCATTCTTTATAATATATTTTAATAATAATTTTTTATATCTATTTCTTAATTAACATATATTACACATTAAATTAAAAATGTGATTACATCAATAATTTTAAGATTTCATTAATTTTTATGATAAAAGAATTAGATACACTGCTAATGTAAAATAATTTTGATCATAATTCAATAATCGATGTGCATCCATCAAATGGATTAAATTTTTTCATTTTATAAATCAGATCAACCACATAGATTTCATATAAAGTACTAAAGAAAGAAAAGTACAACTTGATTCATAAAAAAATAAAGAACATATTTAGAAATGTGGGTTGAAAAATTACTTTTTTCCAAAAAATTAAAAAGGTTGCTTCTTTTTATCATCAAAAGGCCTTAGTAAAATTTCAATTTGACAGTTAATCAGTTGCAGATTCGTGCACAAGTTATCTTAAAAGTACTAATGTTATATCTTTTATTTTAAGTTGCTTTCGGATCAACGTTACTTTCTGTAGTAATTCGAAGCAAGAAATTAAAAAAAGGAAACTAATCATTAAAATTGTAATAGCTATTATTACTGGAACTTTGCTCTTCCTATAACAAAGATTTTGCAGATAGTTAATCCAAAAGCTGATACAAAAATCGATTATGAACCCAACCTGTTAAGTGCTTCTACCGGTACAGAAAATTGTGGCTCCAACTCAAGAGCCTCCTTGTACGCTTTCTTAGCTTCCTCGTCCATTTTCTTCCCTTCATAGCACTCCCCCAACGCACACCAAGCTTTCGCGTTCTTCGGACTCAAAATCACCGACTCAGTCAAATCCGCAAGCGCCGAGTCAACTCGTCCGCGTTCACTCGTCGCGAGCTTTAACTCAGCTCTCTTAAACAACGCGTCACCACGTTCTCCCTCAGCAAGAGAACCAGCAGCGAGAGGAGACAACGCCGCGTCGAGCGATTCAAGAGCGGAGGTTCGAAAACCTTGAAGATCCAGGACCATAGCTTTGAGAAGATACGAAGCGGCGTCTTTAGGATCGAGTTCGATTGCTTTTTCGGCTTCGGCTAGGGCTTCGTTGGCGAGCTGGTTAATGGCGGATCTGGATTTGTTTTTGGAAGATCTAGCTTGTGTGAGAAGCTGAGCGCCTCTTACGAAGTGACGCTTTGCTTTGATACCGGTTCGGTTGCGGATTCGGAGTTTGGCGAGAAACTTCTGGGGAATACCGTGCATACTGAGGAAGATTAAGATCATTGCGAGTATCATAACGATTTGTAAACCGATGTCGCGGATCATCGCGTGTTTCTCTTTGGTGTCCATTTTTTAATCTCCGGTGAGTTTGCTCCGGCGAGTGTTAGGGTTTTGAGGCGGTGTGAGAAGAAGTGTGGTTTTATGTTGGAATTTTTAGAAAGGTTTATAGATTCAATAGTTAAGTTCAACTTGACTCGTTGCGAAGACGCCCGCCATGATTGTCTTTTTCATTTTTTAATTTAAATGTTTATCTTAAATTAGTTGGTGTCAATTAGTTTTGGAAGGGATAGAATAGTTATTGTTCTTGGTGATAGAATGAATAAAATTATTATTTTAGTTGGGTAATAGATGAAACTTGTTAGGATTTAATTTATTTTAATAATCAAGTGGATCTCGTTCACGAGTTCTGCTATCTTAATTCATAACCAGAGAAATAGTCAAGAATGATGTGCTACCTGGGTCCACTTTTTCTTATTTAAACTCTTTCATTACAAAAATAATTTATCACAAGAATCCCTAGTTTTTTTAGGTCAAATTGTTCTTTCTCTTTCTTTGGGTTTGGAGTTTATGACACGGTTGTTTGGACTTGCCTAATGCGTGGCATTGACTGCTAATCTGTTTTGGAAATTTGGAAAATTTGGAAATAGAAGCAAGTAACTAGGTTTTATTTTTTTTAAAGTGGAGTACTCAGTAGTATTAGTAGTAGTAATGAATTTTAAATTTTTAGACTTTATACATATTACTATTCAATACACACTACTAGCTTCATTTAGAGACTCCCAATATTTGTTTTAATAATTAAAATTAAACTTGGTTTTAGATTATTAATATTTTTTAAAAAAGAAAAATCTTTCCTCCATCATATATTTTCAACATGAATTTGGGGCACATGCGCTCGCGCTCGGACAAACTAAATAATCTTTATAAAATCAATCTAATATGAATGTCTAGGGCAAAATTATGTGTTATGTTTAGTGTTTCGAACGAACTAAATAATCTTTATAAAATCAATTTAATATGAATGTCCAGGGCAAAATTTAGTCAGTTTAGACCGACGAAGATATGTACATTCATTAAGGAGTTGGACACTAAAGTTAGACATAACACCTATCTCAACTATTAGAATTCATCTGATAGTCTCTCGTACAAACTGTAACATTTACTAGGGCTAATTTTAACAGGTGTTCAAATATAAGTATGATTTTGTGTCATGTCAAGGTATAATTCATGACAAAGTTGCAAGTTACATGTCTTTGAATTTATTAATAAGACGTAATGCTAATCTTGCAGGTACACTTCTCTCCATCCACAGAGACTTCTATCATCGTAGCGCTGACATTCTACGATGAACTTTATCAACTCATCACCAATTTTATGTTTCACATGTGGATAATGGAACTGTCTATAGGAATCGTTTCTTGATTCTCACGAAATTTGTTTTGCACCGACTGATAACATTATAATACATAGTTCATTCTGACTCGACTTACATATTTTTAGTGTCGTTGTACCATACTTTGTAGCATTATGCTGGTAGTTTATGTATGTTTTAGGTACTTTACAGGTAGAAGTCGTTACATGAAAAAATCAGACGAAAACGGCAAGCAACAGTTATAATATGGCGAAAATACACTGGTGGCGACCTCCATGACGGCTGCCATTGTACTAGCCATGACTAGGCTAGCATGGGACCCACAAGAAAGAGGATTTGAAGCAAAAAGACAGAGTCAATGACCCATGGCGACCGCCACATGGGCCATGGTGTCTGCCACTCCTTGTAAAATGGCCATCATGGAGAAATTACACTCATGGCACTCGCCACAATGCATAGCTCCCGCCATGCACTTTGTTTTCTGAAAAATTGCAACGAAAAATGGCCCAGTCTTCTCCCACTTCACCTATATTTGCTCCCACAATTTTTACACGTTTGGACATGATGTTATGCACTTGTAACACTATAAAAAGGTAAGTTTATTAGATTTTTGGCATCCTAGTCTTGTGCAAGTTTAACAATTTTTAGTTTTAAGCAGAAATTCACCATTGTAAAGTGATGGCTTTCTCACATCGAGGAACTACTGCACCTTAGTGTTTTAAGGCATTTGTTGTACGTTTGGACCAAACAATCTTACCATCATTCAAAGTTTAATTCAATTTATTTCCAGCTTTATGTTTCAGGTTCATCTAATTTATAGTTGCTTTACTTTTCGGCTTTTGTTTTAAGTCATTTATATTCTACAACTTTTATTTTAAGTCTTTTACAATTCTCGCCTTATTATTTTATTTCCATTGTTATTGTTCTAAGTTCTTATTTTATTCCTTTAATTCATCTGCAACCCCGGATGTGAGGACCGTTGTTTCGGTAGGACTCGATAAATTAGTTTGACGTATAATTTTAATATTAATTTATTTTTTTGATTCTGATTTTTACTTTTAAAATAAAAAAGTTTTGCGCGAAAGCGAAAACACTCAGGTATTGGTCAACAACGCGACACTATAAGACTCATACCCGATCGTAAAAAGTGGATTTAATTTCTAAAACAGCGGCATCGCTTTAGTGATTAATTATGATTTATTATGTTTTATAAATTGTTCCGAAATTGTAATTGGATTTGCGACAGCAAAGCATTTACGGTTTCAAAACATAACACGGGTTGCGCAAAAGTAAGTAGTGTTTTTAAAATGATATTTTCTTCCGAAAAATATTTTAAAAAATCAAAACCAACACCAAGAATTTATTGAGTCCTAGAGGTGCGACTGAAATTACATTACGGTCTCGTTTTTATCAATATTCTCCTAAGCCAAATTCTATTTCTTGTTTTAAGTTTGCTTCATAAAACCCCAAAAAGTATTCCTGATTAGCCTTAGATTTACATAACGATAATTGATAGCGGTAGATTGACTATTAGTTTCTATGAGTTCGATATCTTTTGTATTACTTTGATAACATTTGTGGACTTTCAGATAAGCTACCACACGAAGCTAGCACATCAAAGTTTTTGGTGTCGTTGTCGGGAACCAATTTATTCAATATTGTAACTTTATTATTGCGCCATATAGACTAAGACATTTTAATTTTCTTTCTATCATCAGTTATATGCCAAGCACTAACTCGAAGAGAGAAGAGTTAGAATAAGCGATCGACGAAGTAGAGCGCTTCATTCGTATAAGAAGTAAGATCGAACAATATTGAACCATATTTGCACCTATGGCTGCACCAGATGCAAACCCTCTTAAGGATTACACTGTTCCATCTTAGGATGAAACGCATTCAAGCAATGTTCTACCTATAATCTAGGCGAATACTTTCGAATTGAAACCATCTTTGCTCCAAATAGTATAACAAAACCAGTTCTCAGGAAATCCCACTGAGGACCCGTATCTTCATTTATCAGTGTTTGCACAATATGCAGACACATTAAAAAGTAACGGTGTAGATCCATAAGCCATTCAACTACTTTTATTCCCATTATCTCTTAGAGATAGAGCCAGAGCATGGCTACAGTCTCTACTTGAAAATTCAATTACTACGTGGAATGAACTTAAGAATGTAATCTTAGCCATATATTTTCCACTAAGCAAAATGATAGTTATGAAAAATCATATAACCACGTTCAAATAGGCCGAAGAAGAATCACTCTTTGAAGTGTGGAAAGATATAAGGACATGATGAGACTATGTCCCAATCATGGATTAGAAAAATGGCTTATCATTCATACCTTCTACAATGGTCTACTCTACAACATGATGATGACCATAGACGTTGCTGCTGGCAGAGCCTTAATGGATAAACCAGTCAATGAAGCTTACCAACTTATCTAAAACATGGCTCAAAACCATTACTAGTGGAGAACTAAACAAGTTCAAGTCGAGAAATCCCAAATTAAAGAAGGAATATTTGAAATTAATGGAATTGATCACATGAATGCTAAGGTCGAGACACTTACCCAAAAGATCAATAATCTAATTGTCACCACTCTAGCCATTATGGTTATTGTAGATCTAACTTGCGAGATTTGTGGAACCCAAGGGCACACAACTACTGATTGCTAAGTATTGACAGGGCTTGTCCCTTATCAAGTCAACTATTGAAGATCAAAGCAACCAATTCTCTTGTAATGTTGAATTTTATTGTTGAGTTTAGTTTTATTATTATGAGCAGCTAAACCCCCCAATGCTAGGGGGTGTCCCTGAATTGACTATGTAATAACCTTTGGTTTCTTGAATTATATATTTCACTGCTTTCTAGCCATCGTTGTTATCGTATAATGTTTTACGACTTTTCTTATTTGAAAAATGGGAATATGATTTACGGTTAACCTTAGGTTTGGAAAAACAATTGTTAACGCGTTTATACGATAATACTATAGTAGATATTGCCCAGGAATGAAGATACCCTATAGTAACCGTAATGTTTTAGATAAAACATATTGCTTGGTATTGTTCCTATACCGCTAAGGAATTGGGGCATAGGGAGAATACCAAAGGATTTTCTACTAAGTAATTAGAGTCAACTAATCTTTAAAATCGATAATGATTGAATTGAGCAGTGATTTCTAAAAATTTAGGATTAAAGTTATTACAAGATTTTTCATACACCCTACCCTAGCATTGCTTCTCCTTCCGTTCAAAACCTTTATTTTACTCTTTTTGCCTTTTGTATTTTATTTTTACAAATTAAAACCATTGAAACCCCAAGGCTTTTGTTTAACTAACATAAAACCAGAATTCTATATCGTCAAGCAGTCTTTGAGATCGACATTCAGGAAATTTCCCCTTATTACTACATCGGTAAAAATAGTACACTTGCTATTTCACCGGTCAGTTATACCTAGGGAAGGTGCTAGCATCCTAAGTATATGTAGTACTCTACAGAAACATCTTGTTTTATTGTGTCATTTGTTATTTTTGTCTGCTAAAGAGTGTAAAGAAAAATGAGACCTAAGGTGTTAGTCTTAAGTATGTTCGCCAAGACATCGCATATCGTGCCTACGTATCCTGACGAGAATGGAATCAGAGCGTCTGTAGTTTCCCTAAAGGGTAAGGAACTATTGAATATGGTTAAAGTTCTA